CTAAATCATTTAGAACCCCACAACTTTTGTCTGAAACGGTTTTTTTTTTTTCAAAATGCTCTGTTTCCGAGATAAAAGGGATGTATGGGTGATCTGAGACATCCAGTATAATCATAAGGAATATAAAATGTCCGAAAGGAAAAAATATCTTAAAAACTACAAGTTTTATAAAAAAATGTTTTAGATAAAAGTTGTAGAGTTTAAAAAGGTCTAGCCGCTGGTTTTATTATTTTGACTTTGGATGGCGTCGCCAAGGTAGAGCAAAGTCAACATTTCATATGTCATTAGTGCAGGATTCTTTAACAATAAATAAAAACTCATATAATACTCTCACATTATGTCATAATTATATTTTTCTGTGACTTTGTAATGATTGTTCTCAACTTAATAACAGTTATTGTCCTTTATCCAATACGTAAATGGTGTCACTATTTAAAAATATTTACAAATATATTTTGTATGTATCTCTCAGATATATCACAACCTCCCGAGGATTAAAGATATCGATGTTAGGACTCTTGTCATAAACTAAAAAATGAGAAAAGAAGATTCTCTTCGATTTCCCTCTTCACAATAAAGGACAATAAAAGCCTTAAGAAATCATTTTATCACACGTACTTTAGAATCGAAACAAACTTCTACACTGGAAGTGTAATCCGTGATCAATGCTGTTACCGACCAGCATTTACCCTGTTTCGTTAACGTCGAATGGTTCTTCACCTGACCTCTCACTGTCTTGTATATTTTTTCCGTAATAGGCTCGCGTAAGACATCGCGCAAGACATCGCAGACTTTGGGAGCTGGTTGAGGCTTGATAAAATCAGAAATAATTTTAGTCTCAGATATTTGCTGTATTACTCTCGAAGTGTTTACCTTTGACAAAATTATAAAGTTAAATAAAAAGAGAAAGCAGTTTCAATTAAAAAAAAAAAAATGTAAAAATCATTTCAATAAAAAAAAATACTAAATTATAAATATTATATACCACTGATTTCTCGTTTTGTGCCACTTTCATGGATGTACTTTTCTTAATTTCTATTAGAGCATTATGATTTGTCACTTTCATAGGTGGTTCTAACGAGAGACATGTTTTGGTTTTACTCATTAAAGGATTTTCATCTTGTTGACTAAAAAATGTTGAATAAAAAAATAAATAACAGAAATATCGAAAATAATAAGATAGAAGATGCATAGAGGTGGATAAAGAACCTCTGTGATTTCTTTGTCTTAATTATGATGTCGTAATCATCTAAGTCAAAATCATCATCAGGAAATTCTGAAAAATTTTGATTCTGAATAGACTTCATAGAAAGCGATAATTTGCTGTGAAAATTGAGTACTGAAGTTGTTTGTTCAACTGTCGTTCTATCATCCTTAGCAATTTTCTTAGTCTCCATTTGTGACGGCGATATCTGTGAAGATCTTGTTGGGGAATTATTGAACCTAGAATAATTGCTTAAATTATTACAGTAAAATTAGTAAAATTAGAAGACACTACACAGCAAGATAAAATTTACTTTTGTAAATCAGAAAAATTGTGAATTTTAAAGCAAATCTTTATATAACTTAAAACGATATCAATTATTATCTGAATTAAATTCATATTAAGAAAATGTCTTTAATACTTACCAATCTTCTAAAGGTTCAAAGTCTATATCTTCCAAGGTTTGCATAATTTCATTCGTTTCTTTCCTATCTACTTGTTTGCGATCACACGTATTTCTAAAATTTTCTTGAACGGCATTATTTTCTTGGCTTCGTTGTTCGATTGCTGTCACTGCTTCTAAGTCAATAGCTTCTTCAAAATCATCATCGAAAAAACTGTCATTGTTGTTAGAATTAGATGCTGTGTTTTGAACATTCTGATTCATGATCCTGGATAATCCATTATCATTATATGGATCAGGGTTTTCAGGTTCTCCTCTAAACAATTGAATGGACATAGAAATCAAAAAGCTGAAACCAAAGAATAAAAAATAATTCAAACTCAAAAGAAAATTAGATCAAATCTTACAAAGCTCTTGCCAAGACATTTTCTAGCGCGTTGGATTTCAACAAAGTTTCCACTTCTCCGCCAATTTCCTTGTACTTGCCATCTTCTAGGAGAATAACACCACGCCTACAGTGGATCGGGCCAATTATCATTACTTTATAGCCAGGAAGTAATATATCCTGCGAAGAAACATTTTTAATGTTTTAATTTGATAATCTCGATGAGAAAAAGAGAGAGAGAAATTTGCATTCATTTGAAACAATGGAAAAAGCCATACAGTTATTTGTTTAAGTGAAGTATACTCTATCGCAGTGACATCTTGTACTCCATCAGTTAAATAAAGTTGCATCATTCTTCTACCTTTGGGTTGCCACTCCATCAGCTGCTCTTCTTCCTTTACTTCCAAGTTCTGATTGTCGATTTTACGAATTTCACAAAGCTGCTTATATTTGGAGCTCATTATATCGTACATCTTGTCTACCTATACTCATACCAGATGATCTATATTTGGATGTCTAAAGTAAAAACATATGTGCTATGATTGGAATACCACAAAGAGCTTACCTGGAGGATATAGATACCAGTCAATACAATGTGTGTCTGCTGAGTTAAATTCCTTGGCAAACATCCATTTTCATTGTTGATTTCCCGTAAATCACTCAATTGCCATTGGCCCTCTACAAATTCGAAAATATGCTTATCTGTCATCTATAACAATAATCAATAGAAGTTAATTATTTAGAGTAATATTAATAGAATTAAAGTTTTTATTATTATCTGTATTGTTAACAGTAATTATAAGTTATTAATATGTTACTTTGTACTTGATTTATGTCATGAAATATATTTGTGTTGCATGTGAAATCAGTAAAAAATACAGAAAAAAAAAGAGAAAAAAAATTACAAATATATTTAAAAGATATATTTAAGACTTAATAATTTGTCACTTTGTATTTGGTTTAAATATATTTGTATGACGTGCGTCAGTTTGTAAAAAATAACAGTAGAAAAAAAAAGCTTATTAATTGTTAAACAATTATTGAAACACTGAGTTGTTAAAATTCTTTAACATTTAACATTAAATTATTAAAGAATTTTAACAATTAGTGGTTCAATATTGTTTAACAATAAGCTCTTTTTTTTCTACTGTTATTTTTTACAAACTGATTTCGTACGTCATACAATATATTTAAACCAAGTACAAAGTGATAAATTATTAAGTCTTTTAAATATATCTTTTAAATATATTTGTAATTTTAATTCTTATTAAAGCACAATTAATAAGGAATTTCGTTTGATGAGGTAAGATTTAACAAGTTGTAATAAAACATTTCTCTCATTCAATGTCAGAAGATTCAAAATAATAACATGTTACTGTTTCTTAATTTTAATTAACAAAGATATATGTAAAACAATAAAAATCGACGCGTTTCACTTTATACATAATGTACCATTTTATCGTTGTCGTTCCATATTAAAATTAAATTGATGCATTATGCAAAACGCACTCAATAACTAATTTAGCAATAATTAGTAACATACTTCATGAGAAATTTTGTCCCTAATAAAGAATTCGACGCAATCTCTTAGCCATGCGTCATTCATTACATAAAATTTTGCGTTTAATTGGTTTTTTATCCGTCTTAGCAAATTCTCATTCATTTTCGCATGATAACAAGTTCACAATTTTTCAATCAATATCGAATTTTATCGTTACAATAGATTCACGCCCATTGCATGCTTTTCCGTGATACATATAAGGATCCTAGTTTTCATCGAGGATTTAATCCGGATCAGAATGTAAGAACCAACCAACTACAGTCGAGCATTCCTCTGTCGTTCGATTGTAACAGGAGAATATTCGATTGTAGGTGATTGGTTCTTATATTCTGATTTCAATCCTCGGTGGAAATAGGCCAATGGTGTGTTCAGTTTGCAAGCATTTCTCTCAAAATCTCGGCCATCTCTTTTTTTCGTCAAATGTCTCGGTAGGGTATCCACACAAACTTGCATAACCGTATGCATAAAGAAAATTATCCAATCATATTTTACGTGCGTCTATATAGGAAAAATGCGATTGGATAATTTTTTTTATGTATACGTTTATGCGGTTATGCAAATTTGTGTGGATATATCCTTAGATATATCCTTCATCACATACAAAATGACATGAGCTGCATAAACATAGCATAAGACTGCTAGCCCAATGAGCATCTTATGCAAATCAATATAACGTCTTTTTGTCGAATGATCATTAGTTAGTGATCTTGTGCTATGCTTATGCAGTTTATATTCCGTGATGAGCTCTTAGGACCATTACACACAAATTTGCATAGCCGCAAAAATATGCATAAAGAAAATTATCCAATCACATTTCTATCATAAAAGCAAACGTAAAATACGATTGGATGATTTTCTTTATGCATATGTTTATACAGCTATGCAAGTTTGTGTGGAATAACTTTACACATGACATTTTCCCGAAAAACTAGACTGGAAAATGTTGGTACTTACAAAAACCTCTAGGCAATATAATTTTAATTTGTACGGATTAATAACTGACCTAGTTTCTACTGAGGGTTTAAACTGTTCATAACCGGAACTGTTCATAAAGAGAATTATCCAATCATATTTCTGTTATTGGATAATCACGAAAAAACAAGCAAAGAGCGTAAATTTATTATAACAATATTTGTAACAAAATTTTTTTTTATTAATACCAACATTTTTCAGTCTATTTTTTCGGGAAAATGTCAATGGATGCATCTAGAAGCACGCTTGCTTACTGAACTATATAAAGACACTATATAAAGACAACTATATAAAGACTATATAAAGACACAATATTGATGTCAGATTCCTGATTGGCAGTCTGATATGTATTCTGATTGGGTCGAACCTCCACCACCAAATCGGATTCTTACTATCACTCCTGCGCCGCCATATTTGGACCGCTTCAGGGTCGTAAAAAATAAACATACTCTAACCTTTAATTTGTACTTCGTTATGGCGTTATTGATCTTCCTGATTTACTAAAGGTAGGAGCCAAAATTGAAAAAGAAGAATGTACTCTATTGATTCCGTTAGCGGAATGAGCTCTGTATTTCGTTAGCAGTTAGGTGTGTCAGCTGTGTTCATAGAATATAGAGAATAGGAAGCTGCTAGCCGAACTTACATGGAAGGGGTCTTCGAAAAGCGTGGTCAAAAGTGATCATTTGAATTAGTTCGATTGAAATGTCGCTATCGTTCCACCACATCGTTCTCGCAGTTTGTTTGGTAGATCATACCAATTTTATGAAGAATGCTCCATTTTTCATATAATTTTAATAGATGCATTCAGTACTATGAGCGCTCAGTGAGCTCTTATACCTGTTTGATCTCTTTTTAAATCTAGCGGAATATGCCAATTAAAGGCAAGAACTTACTGAATGCTTAGTTGTAGTACTAAATGCATCCAGTGACAATTTATGTCTTCCTGTTAAGCTAGTTCTACATTAACAAACTGATCACAAGTTTATTGCGACAGCCAATATGAAACATTGATTTCAAAATCTAAGCTTCAGATTGGCTGTCGCAACAAATTTGTAATCAGCTTGCAATTAATGTAGAACCGGCTTTACTTTCAGAGCATCATGTTAAAGGCTGCTATTTGGACGTGCTTTAAGCGCTTGTAATCATCATTTTATCTTTATCGTTTCTTAGACGTAAAATAAGAATAGAAATACTGAAAGCGCTGAAAGCGTCCAAATCGATCACAGCCAAAGAATAACGTCTCTATTCGTAAACCGTGACTAGCTTCACGTGATTAATCTCACCAAATGTATTGTGTATATATTGTGTATAAATAATAAATTATAAAGAGTTATAAAAAGTACAAACACAACATAATTAAAACGTGAATGCAATTAAATGCGTATTCAATAATTTTTATGATATATAGTTCTAGCTCTCCTGATATTCTTACTAATCTTAATCTTAACTGCTGTTAGACAATTCATAATATGATTGAGCAATTCTTAATTTCAATTTTCAATTGCATAGTCTGATCGGCTTTAGGGGTTCTGCACAATAAAAGGAACAGGGAACAGAGAACAGAAAATAAGAATCTATCAGAAACTATGTATACCACAATACATGATTTTTGATAGACTGAAATTCTTAGGGGCTCTGCACAATAAAAGGAACTGGAAACAGAGAATAAAAATTTCAACTATACATAGTATCTCATAGGTTAAAATTCTTAGTCTCTATTCCTTTTATTGTGTGGAACCTCTTAGGTTATGTGTGTTCGATTGTATGTGCGTAAGCGAAAATGAGAAAAGTTTTATGGCTGCTGTGTCCAATGTGGCGCCGTGTCTGGACGCCGGCGACGACTAACTAATGGCAAAGGAAGATTGGCAGGAAATCACTAAGTTCACAAAGAAATGTTATTCATTGGTTTAGTTTCCACCGAGGGTTTAATCCGGATCAGAATGTAAGAACCAAGAATCAACTACAGTCGAGCATTTCCCTATTGTTCTACTATAACAGGGGAATACTCGATTGTAGTTAGTTCGTTCTTACATTCTGATCCGGATTAAACACTCGGTGAAAACCATTGTTTCTGACTTAAAACCATTCCACACAAACTTGAATAACCGCATAAACAAAATACACATAAAGAAAATTATCCAATCATATTTCTGTTATAAAGACAAATAAAATACGATTGGATGATTTTCTTTATGCATACGTTTATGCAGCTATACAAGTTGTGTGGAATGGCTTTTAATTAGACTATACATTGAAGATTGAGATTAAAGATTGAAATTTCATTAATGAAGACAAAAAAATTTTGGCTCCTTTTGTTTTGATAAACTTCAATCTTTCAATCTTCAATCACATTCTTCAATGCGTAGTCTAATTCCGGCCTAAGGCGATTTAATATAAACTCAAATAAATATTTGGAATGTTTCGAAAGAGATGTAATTGCGTACGTTACGACAGCTTGGATATCGCATTACTAGATTAGAATACGAGAAACTAAAATAATCTACAACACAAGCATTTATCTGATACGAGTAATTATCTAACGACATGAGCAATAATCGATGCCGATCTCGAAATGAACATAAAGTGATGATTAATTTTATCAAGCACTAATTTAAAATCTATCGCTGAGGCTAACAAAATGTTCGCACGTAGAATGTGACATCAGAGAGAGAGAGAGAGAGAGAGAGAGAGAGAGAGAGAGAGAGAGAGAGAGAGGAAAACCGGAAAAAAGAATTGACTCGAGCGCTGCAACTAATGCTTGTAATGCCACAATTTTGCCGTGTTTTGTGTTCGATTCAAACATTGTCTACTGAGCACTAATACCAACTCAGAAACCTGATTTTGATTACATTTTTCAAAGCCTAGTTCGGCCCAATTAGACGAGCCGAGTTTCTGACGCGCATTCAATGTAGTAACGTCACTCCAGTAACGTTACTAGTAAATAGGAAATCATTAGTCGCTTAAGGTTGAAAATTTATATATTGTACATATTTTACAGACATACATATATATATAAATATATATAATATATTTCTATATATGTATACATATGTAAAATGTAAAATATTAAAATTTTTAACATTTTTGAAAAAATTTCACATAGGCGACTAATGAGCTCTTATTTACCAGTGACCAGTACGTTACTGAAGCTACATTGAACGAGCATGCGTCAGAAATCTGACCTGTCTAACAACACTGGTTCGACCTCCTATTCTCTATACTCCATGTAGAAGAAGAAGAGGATTTGTCATGTCAATCAAAAGATAGCACTTTTACGTTTCTTCAAGCCACGTAACGTGTCATTGTGTGTACACTCGCACTTTTTTGTGACAAATTCGTGCTACTTTTCTACTTTATATGTTACACGGTATCAGCAAAGATCAGTATTAAAGCTTCCGGTAATCCGTCTTATCTTCAAGGTTAGAACTATATTCTCATCACAACGGGGGTCGAACAGTCAGCTATGTCTGTCTCTCAGATGGAAAGTATCCTTTGAAATTATAATTGTGCATCAAAATCTTGTTGTAAAACATTTTTTCTTATGAAATTATTTGCAAAATAAGAAATTAATATGAAAGCATCTTCAAAAGATATGCTAACAAGGTTTGATAAACCTAAAAATTTTAAATTTAAAATTTATTCTTATACATATATTTGTAACAGTTGATGATGTACTCGTATAAATCGGATTGTAAGTGATATTCAATCTGATTTTATATTCAAAATATTTTGTCTATATCTTGTCATTTTAACATTTAATGTTAACATTTAACATTGGAAAGTCACTCAATTGTTATAATGTAATGAGTTTGAAAACTCATTTGTTATTGAAGAATTTAATTTGGAATTTGTAACTCGTGTTTTAGTTAGTCATGATTTGTAACTCATTATTGGTTACAAATTACTTTTTTCAGTAAGTAAACTCATAATGGCAAATTATTTTTCTAAGTGATTTTCTCAATCTTTATTTATGATAATCATACAAAATTGTAGTGATCATAGTCATACAAAATTGCATGCAAAACTTTATCAAATTGTTATTATAAAAAGTAATGGAATAGTGACTCTCCTATTCTCTGAAATCAAACTATAATTTATAAACAAAGCAATCATAGTAGATATTTCCTTAATTTCTAAAAAATACAGAGAATCTATTTAATTTAAAATTTGCTGTGAAAGAATTAGAAAGAAACTCAAAGAAATGTGAGAA